GGTATAAAAACAATATGGGGCAGGTACTTTGACTGAGTACCGGGTATAAAAGTTGTGATGCGTAAGATGCGTCTCACACGTCCCTTCTCGTTTGAATTGAAATATATTTTATTTTCTGCGGTGCCAACCTCTCTCTCTGACTACATCTCACCGTCTAAAAGAGTATTCAAAATACAAGCCCCAAAGAATAAGTAAGAGATAAAATGCAGTTTGCCGTTTGGCGACGTCAACCTCGTGGCTCCACCGAACTGCACAAGAAAACAACAAAGCAAGTAGTTGCAGCTCCTGCTTCTGTTGTGCCGAGTATCTGGCAGACTTTAGCTTCTGCCTCAGCTTCTGGTTTGCTGCTCCCTGTTCTCTCTTGCCTGTTCTTTGGGCCAACTTGGTAAGCTGTTCCTCAGTTAGTTTTTCGCTTGTAGCGATTGTCGCGCAATCGGTTACTTGTTTTTGCTGTTGTTCAGCTTGTTCTTTATTGTTTAAAGTTGCCATAGAGATGAATCGATTGAATTGTGCAGTTATAAAATAGGGTTTCCGCAATGTAACTAAGAATCCTTAAATGCACAATTAGGAGTATCCCCCTGCAGATTAATAATTCTTCACTCGTTGTCTGTCATGCTGTGACTCTTCTTCTCATACAATATGTACATTCAACATCTCAATGCTCGAAAATCAACACTCAGACGAGTATACGAGTATGAAAACGTACAAGAGACTCATAAATCAAAATGACATGACCAACTCTCGGGCATTAATATTTCAATACCATAAATGCGGCGTCAATTCGCACATGGTAGATGGGTTTTGAAGGAGAGCCCGTTGACAGGGACATGCACAACGAAGTCTGCAGAAATTGTGAATGCTTAAATATGAAAAGCCTTCACGACGACACCACACCCAACTGTTCAAAAATCCTTCTCCTAGCACCACTTTTCTCTCATTAAATTCAAAAGTGAAGTTCACTTTGTGCATCAAATCAAATCAAGGCAAGCGTTCAAACATGCAACATGGAACATGTCAGAGAGAGAAAGATGTGAAGACGAGACGAGACAGGCTCGACTAATTATGGAAATGTCATCAGACGATGATGATGATACTCATGTGTAGCTCCCTTATGGGGAGGTCTCTGACAAGCACTCTCCGACAAAAAGAAAAAAAAATCCGTTTAGTTTGCATAATTTGCTCAACACATGCGACAATTTCAAGCAGCACTTGCATGGTAATTTATTAAATTCGTACATATTTTTTCTCCTCCACCTCTTCCTGCTTCTTTCACTTGTGAAGAAATTCAAAGTTTTTGTTGGGACCCCTGCACCAGCGGGGGGCAAATGTGACAGACGTGACGACAGACGTTGGTTAAGAGACAGCCTCGCGACGCCTTGCGCGACTCGTTAAGTGACAAAAGTTCAGCTCGTGGGTGGCACAAAAGTCAAAGATAATCAGACAAGAGGTGGCAGGGCATTGCCTCCATGCACAAGTGATATATGGATTTGTCGGCTGTCATTTGCTTTTTGAAAATTATTGTTGTGCTGGCCGTCTACACTTTGGGTTTGGGATTTTGTTCGATACTCTTTTGGGAGATATGGTTATGGGTACTTTTTTGGTGTTTAATGTCTTAAAAGAGTTCGGTAGAGTTAAAATATGGTGGTTATACACAAACACTACACATCTTTTTTTTTTAATTTCTTCTGTAGCTTTATTCTGGACATAAATTGTTAAACATTCTGCACAACTGTGGCGTGCAAATACTATAAGGGATTCGTATTTAATCAAAGATCCTGAATAAAGTTGTACATTTGAGATTAAAAAAACTAACACTCAAACAAAAAAACTCTCCAACACTGCAAATTCGCCTTTACACTTAGAATTCATGAACAATTGCATATGCCACGCTAATACAAGCCAGTTTAAAAATCATAAAATAAATGTATTTATGAACTGAAATAACAAAATTATACTAAAGAGTACTAGTCCTTGTTTGGTACGCTTAATTTTTTTTCCGGCAGGTGCTTAACATTTTCGTTGTTTTTCTTCCATTTGCTTTTGCTGGTGTCGCTGCTGCTACTGCCACTGCAATCATAAATTGCAGTGAATTACGATTTTACCTGCTTTCGCACAGGACTGCTTGCTGTCAGCATGTCTGCATTTTAAATATGCAGTCAACACTTATCACGCTGCGGAGGTCAAGTCGGCTATTTTAATGGCTGCCAAGATAGTGGCACTGTGACTAAGTAGGGAGAGCCCAGGGGGAGAGAGTGCACAATAAATATCTTGTGTGTGAGTACAACCTAAACAATTTCCAGGCAACCCCAAAAAAAAGGGAACAGTCATATTTTATTCCAACTTTCGGTTCTTCGTTTATTCTCCTTGAATTGTACAATTTATATATCTTTTGGCGATTTTTCATCTCCATTATTTTGCAGGAAAATAAATTTGCAAACGGTAGAAGAAATATTTTACACAAAATCCCCAACCGATAAATTTTATCCACCTACACCCACGGCAGTCAGTTTACCCATTTTCTCTTTGGTTTCGTTTCTGTATTTCCTGCATGAGATTGGGTGACAAGTCCAGCCTGGTTGAATGGATAGGTTGGTGGATGTTGGTAACCTCCAATGATAAATGGCACGGCTAGAGAGAACCACTATAATGGCCAACGCGATGGCGGTGGCTTTCACCTGCAAAAAAAAGTGAATGAAAAAAAAACTTTGAAGCAGGGAGATGCAGCAGGACCGCCCTGTGGGTCCACGCGGGAGATCTTCATACTCTGCTTGTCAAAACCATTGAACGTGAACATCACTTGTGAGAGTATACATACATACATGTGTATGTACCTACACATAAACATACCTATGTACATTGTACACATGCACACAGTTACATAAGCTCGATTTTCATTCCCAATCTGGATTCTCGGCTATATGTGGCGAAATGGACATTTATGAAAGAGTTATTGATATGTGTGGATGGGAGGATGGGAAAGCCCCAAAGTTTATGGAATATTTTTTTCACCCGGTACTTGAAGAGTAAATAGGGTATATTGTATTTGTGCACAAAGTGGATACATGTAACGCAGAGAAGGAAACGTTTTCGACCCCACAAAGTATATACATATATTCTTGATTAGCTTCAATAGCTGAGTCGATATATCGTTGGGCGCTTGGATCTAACAAAAAGAGCGTTTTGGTGTGAGAAGTGATGGAGATGGAGATGGAGATGACAGATGTAGAAAAAATGTAAAATTAGAAAAATAACCAGTAAGGTATAGAGTTAGTACTGAGTCTCTTCTCGTTTATGACTCCCATAGAGAGAAAGAGAGATGGTGACTAGAGCCAGAGTCAGAGCCAGATCCTGAACCAGAGAGCATTGGCTAGTTCAGGGGTTGCTCCTCTGCAGACTGTGGGAGCCATATAATACAATAAATTGTCAGGTGAGGCGGCTAGATGTCAAAATGCAAGCCCATAACTCACTTTTTCTGTGGGCCCCTTGCGGCCTGCCTCCACTTTGGAAAATTTTAATTTATCGACTCCATATGTGGGCACTGAGCAGAGGGAACTATTGCCAGCTCCCGCGCCTGCCTGCCCCTTAAGTTGCTCTCTAGCTCTCTGCCATGTTACTTATTTTTTTGGGAAATATAAAATTTGATTTACTGCCATATTGTGTGTGATAGTAGCTCGAGCAGTAGCTCCCTTGGTATAATTTAGCGGCAAACGTAACCGAAATGCATACATAGCCTTTTTGCTATGACTTAAAGCTTTTCAGATATGGGTTTGTTGTTTTTTTGCTTTCTAGCCAGCTGCTTGAGGCAGTTTCTAATGCAGTGATCTGTCCACAAAAATGACAGGAAATTGCAAGAATGTTTGAGTTTTTATGGATTTTGTGTTGAGCTTCCAGACATTGAGCAAGTGGTTTGACTGGGCTTTTGGCTCGGTCAAATGCCAAGACATTAGTTTTAATGGTTACATGCCATTTTAATATTTGTGCAAATGGATTGCTGTTTAAACTCTTTTGACTTAGCTTTAAGTCAATGGGCCTATATTTAATATTTTAATTCCTTTAGATGCAACCCCTTTTTTTTGAGGCGTAGGTAAACCAGCGTTGTGTGTCTTTTTACCCGCTCTTAGGTCCTCTCTCAGCATAGTAACGGTGCTTTCTTTAAAATGACATCACCTTACTGCTTCGTTTTTAAAACGAAAATGCTTCACCATAAATATAATTAACTACCTCAATAGACTGCTTTATAAACGCAATCCCCCACTCTTAACTTTTGGCCCGATTCTAATTGTTGCACACCACGTGAATTTTGGTTATAATATTATTAAGGCACTAACCGTCTCCCTCCCACCGTTCCAGAGAATAGACAATAATTCATAAATATACCTCACTTCAAGTCTGTAAATTAATGCACCATTTCGATGCTGATGATCTCATCTGCGCACTGCCCATCTGCCTTCACCCGTCCAAAACATTCGCCAAAGCAACTAAACACAAACATCACACGTGCAAAACAAATTTTAAATTTTCTCACCGATTTTGGTTCGTAAATGTAAGGTTGGTTTACATTCCTAATGAACCTTAGCATTTTCTGATTTTTCATCTGCATGTTGCCATTTCTTCTGAACAGGATGCTAATGTACCCAAATTTCAAGCCGAAACACACACGATTAATCCTGTTTCACTGCCATTTAACCTCTACACCACCACCCAATTTGCATTCAAAAAAAAAAAAAAAATTTCTTTGGTATTTAATTTTCTTTGATTTATTGATTTATTTCGTAGTGACTTAAATGAACATTAAAATATTGTTCATAATTATACATACACTATATATATATATATATATCGAATTTATTTATATTCATTTAATATTTTACAAGAATTTTACAACTTTAAGTTTTTAGACAATCTTTTAATTTCTTCGTTAATTTTGTAATCATTTTGTTTTGTTTTTTTCGCTTGGTTTTTTGTTTTTTGAATGTAATAAATAATATTATAATTACACATAGACATATAATTACATCCACAAAGAGTCGTTGTTTGTTTGTTTTTGTTTCAGATTTCAATTATATGGTAGACTCCTTAGACTCTTAAGCTTGTAAACACATTTGTATGTAACTATGGTACATTTGATCACTGAGTGAGTCATGCATGCACACACATCCATATAAAAAAACATAGATTTGGGGATATATATATATATGTATATTCATATGCGACTCAAGAGAAATGATTATTTACTTGGCTGAATGCAGATCTCGGCCCATCCCCAGACCCCGATCTAGACCCACCCTCGGGTTCTAACAACTACGGATGCGACGAACCCATTCGCGGTCCGTATAACGAATATGGAGCAAAGTACTGGGCCAATGCTGGATGTGGGGGCAGACCGGGCATGCCGGGTGGGGGCAGCATCGAGGGCTTTCCGTACGGATGATAGCGTGCCGCCGAGAGTGGACTCAGCGGTGGCGTCGGATATGTGCGCTGGAACAACGGATGATTGGGCGGTATGCCACCGGCAGCCGCGGCACTCAGCACCGCATCGGGCACCGAGGCTGTGTGCGTGCGCAGATGCTGGAACAGATCGTCGGAGGTGCCGAACCGCTTGCCACAGTAGGCCGCATCGCTGCCAATCCAGGAGCATACGTAGGGCATCTGTGATGCGGCGGCCAGAGCAGCCAATTGGGCATGATATGACTGGGCGGCCGCCGCAGCTGCCGCTGCCGCCGCAGTCGAGGAACCACTCGGTCCCTGTTGTCCACCCGATTTACTGCTGCCCGATCCACCGCCCGAAACCTCACACTGTGGACAGCCGGCTGGGCAGGGCTGACCTGCTGCCTTGTTGATATAATGCGGACTGGCCGGGCATCCGGTGCAGTAGGGATCCCGGCACACATTCGGTGTGGCCGCCATCATCGACTGCTCCGATAGTCCCTTTAGACGGGCATAGTTCAGATATGGGTTCATTGACGACGCCTTGAACATGGCATGATGGGGTGACATCAGGGAGCTGGCTGTCATCAGGTCCATGGGATATGGACTGCCATAGCCTGGATGGGAAAACGAAAATGTTTGGATGAGTGAAGGGAAACCCCAATGCAATCTTAAATTGGAAATGTATCTTAATGACAGGAGAATATAACCTTCGAAAATTACCAACATTACTAAAGCCTTTAAAGATCTCTCTCTAAGCCCCAAGACCCAACCTTTACCCCATTCCTTTTGATGTTGGATGCATGTATAATTTTCCATATTTCCCTTTAAGGCTGCTTCCTAATTTCACATTTGCCATTTCCCATTACCACTTGGCTTTGCTGCAGGCGAAATTGAACAATTCATTGATGCAACAGAACATTTACCACACAACTGCTGCTGCTGTTCCTATATTCGGGGGTAATATGCTCTTCTTTTCTCGTAGTTCCTCGTTGCACTCACCTGGAGGGTAATAGGATGCAGCTGCTGCTGCTGCTGCTGAGGCCTGTCCTTGCTGGCTGGCTGCATGGAGAGCCTTCACATAGTTGGCTTCCTTGGCAGCGGCCATAGCCGCCTCCTGGAGGCGATTGGAGCTGGCCTGGGCTTGGACCGCTGCTGCATGCGCATGGGCTGCTGCACTGGGGCTGTGCATTGTTGCTGCCGACTCTTTGGAATTGCAGCGTCCAGAGTGGGCAGACGATGACGGTAATCCGGGACTGCCGTTCAGTTGGCCAGGGGCAGCACCTCCACCACCACCTCCGACCCCTGAAGATGAGTTGGGGGTACGTCTTAGGGAGTCTCGTGCCCCGCCAGCTGTGGGCGATTCTCTGTGAGAGCTGGCACTTTGGTTCGAATCGCATCTCTGGCCGTTTGTCGTCGTTTTGGGCGTCTTCACCCGCTGCTGCTGCTGCCCATTGCCGTTGCTGCTGCTGGTGAGATTTGTGGCGCCGAAATCGGTGGCAATGGTCGAGGCATTGGAGATGATGGTGGTGTGGTTATTGTTGGGCTCGTAGGGCTTAAAGGTGCTTGGGGTCTTACTGCTGTGAGCCGGCGGCAGCTGTTGCTGCTCCACAGAACCGGTGCTGACGCTGGAAGAATGACTGCTAACCGGCGACGATTTATCGCGTGCGTTGTTATCCGCAAGACCATTGCCTCTACCTAATCCTGCTTCTCCTCCTCCCTTTGGCTGCTGTTGCTTTGTGGCCTTTTCAATATTGGCCGCCAGCAGCTTGGGGTTTGTGGTGTCCGCTCCAATGGCGCTGCATGTTTGCGCCAATAGCGCCAATGGACTGCTTTTGTTGTCCAGCTGTAGCGATGGAATAACGAGAAAGAGAGAGAGGTATGCATAAGTAAAGGATGATATAAAGGTGGAATGGTATTATATGTATTTTGTGTTTTGTTTGTATCTTCGATATCGTGCGATTTGCATCAGGGATAACATCTATTCCTTTGCCCATCTCCCTCTTCCATCTCCACTCGTTTATTCTTTCTTCTGCAAACACTTCTGTGGCCACGGCTAAACGATTTTTCGCTGTGGCACGTTGTGTCGCGCATCCACAGATTGTAATCTTTCACAACGAATTCCCCACACCACTTCCACTCCCATTCCCATTTGACCCTCTTTAACCACATAAATAAGGTTCTGCTCTGGCGTAACCATAAATATTTATAATCCTAACGTAGACAAAATAATAGGAATTATGAGGCCATTAAAATGTTGGCCCAAAAAATACGAGTAGAGAAGATATAAAAAATACATTAATATCAAGATGCCAATGTGGTGCCAAAAACGGAAAAACGTAGGTAGACCCTTGGGGTGGCCCGCAGGGATGCACATTATATTAAAATTATGGAAAAGCTAAGATATGATTAATTGGCTATTTTGGGTAATTTGATATTATATATTTTTTAATGCAGGAGTTCGAATATATTTTTGTAACAATGCAATTAACAGAGGATTAAGTTTTAAAGATACTCATGCTCAATCGAGCAGTGGTATACGAACATTTATTTTTAAAGACTTTCCGCAATCTAAGGAGTGTTTCTATTTGTTCGTTTCTATTAATATCTCTTATTAATATGTAATCAGGCCTAATATTACTAATATTACTAATGAGCCCACAATGAATTCTAAATGAGCCAATACATTTATTACTCATAAAGTAAACAAATATCACTATAGTTGGCGACGCCGTATAAGATGGAATAGAATACACCGAGGTTTTTATTTTTTCTAGAAAACCTTGATCTTTGTGATTTTTGTTTGATTTTCATTTAAGAAGATTACGAATTTGCAATTACTTTTGTAAATTGTACTTTCAATTATACTCGCTCTTGTTACTTGGAAATATCCCTTACAGTCTAATGTTCTACAGCCCTATTGCAAGGAAGAGCAGTGCAATATAAAGGAAGATATTGGAAGATATTGGCCTTGAAGATTTTTGTATATTATTCTTTAATAAAATGTCAGACACTTTTCTTCTTAAATGAGGCGATAAGCCAATAAATATCAGTTTTATTACATACATTTTCCTCGCATATGCATAAATATGGGACAACAACCCTTCAACAATCAATTTCGCACACAGTCTCTGTACCCCAACTTTTGATAACTTTATGGCTTTATGCTTATGACTAATCAATTGAGGGCTTCACATTACTCGGACACTTCAATCGCAAATATATAGAATCAGGTAGACGAAACGCGAAAACAATAAGATTACAAATTACCGATTGAGTGGAACAAAGTGGGATGGGAGGTGCCGACAAAGCCAAGGAGTTGCAGTCATCGTTGTCAGTCGTAAGTGTGTAAATAAATGAAATGAATATTGAGCACTCAAAATGTCTGGCAAAAATACGAAACACGGTTCTTGCAATAAAATCCATTTCGCCTCATGCCATAAATTATGGCACAACACCACCAGAGGACCAGTGGGCAAAAGGTAAAGGAAAAGGAAAACCCATAGAACTGAGGAAAGAGTTGAAAGTTCCATAACTCATCCGAACAAATACACAGGCACACACACATATACATGGAATATAATGATGTACGCTTTATATGTATGTCCGCTGGTGTACGTATGGCTGTATGTCTGGTTTGGGCGTAATTGCGCTTATGACCCAACTGGTCCAAGTCATAAACTACTAAATATTGAAGCTTTTATAACACTAAATGGGCTGCCATAAATTATTATGATACTATTGGAAAAATGGCAACAATTTCGTATCGGTACTTAAGAGTACTTTTGTATGCCCACAATCTGCTAGGCAGTATTTGTAAAGGGTAGCCTTAACTATTCGCTAGGATATTTATATTTAAGAAGAAAGAATTTCGCGGCGAAACTATTCAAGTGCCAGGGGAATTCGGATAAACTGTAGAATCTGTTTAACCCTTGTCGTGTTGTTTTATGTTTAAAAAAAAACTTATTTGAATGCCTCTTTGATTTAAAGATTGAAAAGGTTGTCTATATTTTTTCAAGCTGCCAAATTATTTGCAGAGGGTCTTTATTTTAGTATTAGAAAGTATTATTTCTAAGTAAGTTAATGGGAGGCAAAATTTCAAGAAAAATCAGTATCTATACTCTACTGCATGTGCCAATATAAGTTCTCTATCGCATCAATAATGTATTAGTAATCCCAAATGTTCAGTGCAACTATTTTGCTTATTAATTTGATTTGCATTTGTGTCCACAGACAACACCGAGACGCTAATAGACCAGACCGTACACCGAGAACCTCCCTCTAATCACCCGATCCGCCATCATCAGCACTTTATTAATTATTGGCACACAAATAGAGGCCCAGCGCCAGTGCCAGCTCTAGAGCTTCACTGCGGTCACATTCTGTACCGTTTTTAGCACAGCTAGTCATAATTTATTTCCATGTGATAAGGTTTCCGTATTGATTTTCGGTATTACGCATATTCGAGTCGCACATTGCAGTGTTTTTATACCCGGTACTCAAAGGGTAAATAGGGTATACTGTATTTGTGCGGAAAAAATTTAACACACAGAAGGAAACGTTTCAGACCCCACAAGGACGAACATCTCGCACAGAGAAGGACCATATCTATCAGATCACCGAATTGGGATCAGATTGGATCATTATTATAGCCAGAATGAAGAAATTAATTTGCAGTGGCTGCGCTCACCCCGTCCAGCACCTTTTTTTTTTTATTTTTTGCACATTGTCACATTAACATTCTGCTTCGTGTGGTGTGTGGCTCTTTTAAAGGGGAGCAAGCTAATAGAGCGTGTTGGGGTAATAAGAGATATAGATACTCGAAGATGAAAAATGAAGACAAAAAGGAAAAATTTGAAAAAACCCGCTAAGGTACAGATGTAGTACTGAGTACCGGGTATACAAATTTCGACGTCTCACACGTCCCTTCTCGTTGTTTGTGATTTTAGTTTATAAATATTGTATGTGTGTGTGTTTGTGTTTGAGTTGTTTCTATAGATACAATGAGCCATATGGGGATGTGTATAATTTATGTTTGGACAATGGCCACCATAAAACGTACGAACATATCATATTTTATATATGAGGTTGGTCTGTGAAGCGGCATTGCCATAGTCCGACCTGGGGTTCCATGTAATAATTGAGGCCATACAAATCAAGTTTAGTTTTATGGCAAACAATTTGTATAATGGGCTGTTTAAAATGCCATTTTGTTATGTTATTTTTTTACGCATTAGACTCGCTAAAACGTTAAATTCTGACTCTGCAGAAAAAAAAATTAATAGCTCGCGTACTTTTAACACTCAATTAGCACTCGTAAAAAAGCAAAATAGTCCGTAATTTTATTTAAAGTGTGTTAATTAAAATGTTACACCTTGTGGGAAAAATGTGTACACCTAACAAGGTGAACAAACAGCAAACAAAACGAGGAGGAACGTTATGAGACGCTGGAACGCGTCACAACTTTTAAGTACTGTACTCAGTCTGTATACATATGCATTTGTACATATGCATGTATGTATGTTACCTTAGTGTGATACATATGTATGTACTATGACTGTAACCTTACGTTTTTTCGAATTTTAAATTTGACATATTTCTACATCTACATCACTTCTTCACACGCTGTGTTGGCCCGCCACCCTCCCCCAGAGCCACACACTGCATTAGGCATGGGTTTTAGAGGTAAGCAAAGCCCAAAGAAATGGGTCCGGTGAAGCCACTGACAATTTTTTGCAATTTGAATTTTTTTAAATCTGCTATTTTTTAAATTTTTTTTTAGCTCTTTCTTTTTATCCCACAACTCAAGTATCTTACATCTGGTTGTAATAAACTTAGTCATTCTTTACAGCTAATGAATGCATCTATAAAATTGAAAGTCGTTTGCACAAGTCACAGTCGCTTGTTAAATGCATTTTATTTAATTATAAACTTAAGACTAAACAGCCACAGAGAGTCAGTCAGCTGTCATGATTTACTTACATTTTATTAACAGCATTTTTTACGCCATATTGTTATTATATTTAACGCTAATTATACCCGTTATTCGAAGAGTAAATAGGGTATTTTGTAATTGTGCACAAAAGTGGATGTATGTAACGCACAGAAGGAAACGTTTCCGACTCCATAAAGTATATATATTCTTGACCAGCATCAATAGCGGAGTAATATAGCCATGTCTGTCTGTCTGTCCGTCCGTCCACCCGTCTTTTTGGACGAATAGTTCTCAAAAACTATAAGAGATAGAAACCATCAAATTTTGTCCTCCAGACTGCTGTATGCTTACACCTACTACTACTTCCGCCCCCACAAAGTGCGTAAATCTGCTGTATTGACAATTTTTAAGACAAAAGAAAACCATTCCGTAGGGAATGACCATATCTATCAGATTACCACATTGGGATCCGATTAGATCATTATTATAGCCACAATGAAGAAGCTTATATTTTTTTTTGCACATTCGCTCATTCACACTCTTCTTCGACCTCTGTGCCTACCTAGGCCTCTGCAGCGTCTCCGCCGTGACTCTGCAGTGTGTGGCTCTAGGGGAGGGAGGGTGGCGAGCTAAAAGGGTGTGTTGGCGTGAGAAGTTGGCGTCATCTAGATGTAGATGACAGATGAAGAAAAAATTTAAAATTTGACAAAAAGCCGCTAAGGTACAGATGTAGTACTGAGTTTCCTTCTCGTTTTTTAAATACACTGGTTTCAGTGTGAGCATACAGCAGTCCGGAGCCAAAATTTGGTGGCTCTAGCTCTTATAGTCTCTGAGAACTAGCCGACAAACAAGACGGACGGACGGACGGACGGACGGACAGACGGACATGGCTCTATCGACTCGGCTATTGA